TTTCTACACGGCAACATTGTCCCCTGCCGCACCCGCCACCTCTTGCCCATCTGACCCTCCTTAGACAGGACTTCATCTGGCTTTTCCCTTCTCTGGAAAGAGTGCACCCTCCACAAATCATCGTGGACCACCCTGGAGATGCTGTCGTAAGTGCAGGAAGGAGTCTATATTCCCTGCCACACAGCAAAATGCTTAATAAAATCCCCTTTATATTTCTGCGCATTCCTTTCCCAATTCTGACTTCCCTGCAGCAGCTACTGCGGTTCTTCTTTGCCCCAAAGTCCTCTCCATGGTCTGAAGTAATTCAGTTCACTGAAACTTGGACACCCGTCTCAGCAAACAAAGCCCCTTAAAGTAAATGGAACCACATTTCTTAGAAGGAAGTAGGATCCCTCAGTTGGCGGTAGGGCGTAGCCTCCCAACCCAAACCACCACATGAAAGTTTTCCTGCCTATGACCCAGAATCCTCTGCCTAGAGGGACTCCAAATAACACGAACAGTATCAAGGCTTTCCATACTGCTCACATCATGGTTAGCATTTTTGAGAACCTACTATGTGCTAACAACCACATTGTGGGTTTTACACATAGGATCAGTTATTCTTCAGTAGCTGTGACCTACAAATTCCTAGGATCAGGTGAAATGTGCTAAACTACCAGGTGGGACAGAGTGGCAAAGGAACCCAGGGGAGGTAGCGGAAAGGGAACGAGAGCACAATGGTTGGGAATGTGAATCTGAAGCCAGGCTGAGGGGGTTCCAATTCCAGTTCTTTCATTTCCTGCCTATGGGGCCATCAGTAGACTACCCCACCTCTGTAAGCCTCAGTGTTTTTTTTTTTCTCACTCAAACGAAGCTCTTCCCAGTCCCTCCCTCATGGAGCTCTGAGGGCAATTAAATGAGATGATATTTACTGAGTGGTCAGCACATGACTTGGCATTGAATGTGAAGTGCTCCATAGAAGTTATTTACCATCATCATCATCAGCAGCAGCAGCATCTGTAGCTGCCTTATGTAGGTTCTATTGGTAGCTTTTTCCTCTCTGTCTTTTCTTCTATCAAACAAACAAGAAAGAAAACAGGGGAAGGGAAAGGGAATAATACTACTTTGCCCTTCCCCAAGTCACAAGAAAGGATGATGATGAGCGTGAATCTACCTTGAAGTTGATAAAGAGCATCATTCTCAAGATGCCCGTAGTGGAACAGAGTTAAGGACGGCTCCAGGTTCGTGGGATTCCGAGAGGAAGTTTGCATGTGATTCCTAAGTCCGTTTTCCAGGGAACACAGTTCCAGTAGAGCACATCTCCGCTCCCCAGAGACCCATCCATAACTGTCACTTGACACATTTACAGCCCACTTCCTTCAAACAAAATGCTTATTGAATGTTGTACAATAAACCATTTCCTCGTCTTGAGGCTGAACAACAGCGACCCACAGGTTCCTTCTCCCTTTCAATGAGCTAAACACAGGTTTTTGTTTTTCTGTGTGTTTTTTTTTCCTCCCCACAGTTTAACCACCCCAGATTCCCACCTCATTCCCAAAGGATTAACTCTTTCTTCTCAGGGGGGCACAGACTCTTTCTAAGCTGTCAAAAATGTGTAACATCTAAAACTGCAACCTAATGAGCTAAAACAGGCCGAGTTTTCTTCAGAGCCAGCCTCTGCTTCACTCTCTCAAAAAACACTGTGTCTGAACTTTGCATCAGAGCCTATAACCCTGGCAGCACTTTACTGGGGCAGCTGTGTGTCTGCTCTGCAGGGCCCAGAGCTTAGGATTTACCTAAAGGTCTCAAAGACTTAAGAGCCGGAACCCTGATCTACTCTCCTCAGCCACTTGAATAAGTCCCACCTTGGTGCTTCTTGCAGCTCAGCCAATCTTGCTGAATTTCTAACTCTGAGATCTTGCTTCGGACACCTGCCTGCTCCTCCCTGCTTGTCTGCTTTTGAGCATTGATCAGGGAGCCACAAGACGCAGCTTAGAGTCCTGATGCAGAGATGTGCTGGCTTTGGTGCATGGGCAAATCATGAGTCTCCATTTCCCTATCTGCAGAATAGGGTCCCTTTTAGTTCCCCCAAATGGGTATTGTGAGGACTAAGTTGAGATAATGATTGCAAAAGTTGGTTTTTCAATGCTGGTACACGAGGTAGTCAGGCAGTATCAATTGCAGTCTGTTGTCTTCTCTGATATCTCTAATACCTGACTCCTTAGAGCTTCCATATCCTCCAGATGCTTCTAGTGCAGCTCTTAGCTGACTGACTTCTTGGTTGTTATTTATACTCCGTTAAGTGCACAGCGACTTTGTTTTCGATGCCTGGAAAATGATTTGTGTCAACATTCTGTGTCAATTAAAATAAATGTAATATGTTTCCCAAGCCTTCCATGTACATTTCTACTGGAAAAAAAAATCAAATGCAAATGGGACATCTGGTTCTCATGGACAGATGCTCGGTGCATTATTTGCATCTTTGTCAAATAAAGCTGATGGGAAACCTCCTGTAGCACAGTCCCATTGTGCTCTGTTCCTTTGTTAGAGATTAAAGAAAAATGATGGAAAAAAAAATAACCAGCATTTGATGAAATTATTTTCTGAAGTCACAGTAATTTGTGTTTCGCCCTGAGTCAAATCACTGTGTGTTCTGAGTAATTCTTTGTGGAGTTCTCCCGCGTGGGTGGCACTGTTTTCAATTCGGTGGGAAGTTCAAGAAAATGACAGTGTAGACCCTGCTTAGAAGGGTAACACCATAAGCTCTACCTTTTTATAGAAAGAATGTTTAACTAGGCATTGCAAATCTTAGGCCTGGGTTTTCTAATTGGGCTCTGGGTTCCCCAACTCTGTGTCAGATGGTTAATTTAAAATCAATTGTAAGCCACCGCGCATTCACCTAACATGCACCCCTGTGGCCATGGAAGATCTTGCCCTTTAGAAGTTGCAGATGAGTATAGGGAATATTATTATAATTATTTTTGATCAGTGCAAAGGTCAGACCTATGAGAAAAAAATCTGCAAACACGTACATGCACGCAGCCGAGGCGGGGTAGAGTTTAGTACCAGCTTACAGGTCAGTTTCCTTCTCTAAACTCCCCAGTGCTTTATCTGAACTTCCACGATGGCCCTTTTCCATTTTTGCCTCCTACACAAATATTTGTAGAATGAATGAACAATTTCCTTACCTTTTCCAAACACAGGAAACTGCTCTCTGTAGCTCAACAGTTACTGCTCAATATTGGATCCTGCATACTATTAACCAAGCTGCTAGCTGAGTGATAAAGTCCCATACAACCCTGAGAACTCTCATCTTTGCATGACCCTGAGGGGGCCAGAAATTCAATGCAATGAGTAAATTATTAAGGAAAGGAATCAAACCCTAGAATTTTAAACATGGCTTATCTGGCTTCACATCATGCTGCAGGTCAGATGAAAACTACTTATGGTCAAAGGATCTTCCCAAATATTAATCTAAGAGTACCTCTTCCCTCCCTTGAGCCCTGGTCTATCCCCTGTTTGCGTCCCCACCCCCCTATATTTATGCTGGCTTTTATCTCTGATTCTGATCCTTCTCAGGTTTGAAGACCTGCCAATCACCCAGATCTGACCTCTGCTTCCAACTTTACTCTCCGCTTTCTCTAGTTCCTTGACATCAGTGTTGCTCCATGTAAAGGACCCCTACAAAGTGACCTCCTCAATAAGAAACTTGTGGCCTGAGTATTGCCCTGGTTTCACCCTAGAGAGGGAAAATGGGATTGAGGCGATTGCTTTCCAACAATGACATTTCTCTACTGAGGAATTTTTGATAAAATTCTTGATCTTTCTTTGTCTACTTCCCCCAATAGTTAAAGTAGAGGTGATACCTACCCTGGGTGGTTATGAAAATTAAAATTGAATGAAGGTTTATATAAGTGCCTGGGACAAAGATGACATTCAGCCAATAGCAGGTCTTTCCTCTGTTACCACTTCCAGTTGCGGTCCCAGTTTCTTCCAAGGTCCTGAGGTTTTTTTTTGTGATATTCCTTCTGAGATCAATTTAAAAAGACCTCTTCCTAGGAAATTTCGGGTTTAAAGACCTCTGATGCTTTTTTCCTATTTTTCAAAGGTGGTTTCCTGTTCATTGATTCATCTCAGGAATACTGTCATATCCTCAAATCCAGTGCTTGCCAATGTTCTTTTGCAGCCAGCCTGTTGACACTTGAACACAAATGTAGGTATCAATACTAATGATACCAAAATAATCAATCAAGGACAGCAAAAAAAGGTCTCATGATGTAGCATCATTTCTGGTGGCATAAAATAGGAATGTTTTGGTTATCTTATTTTAAAGCTGAAGAGTAAGGATTTATACTGCCTTTATCTATTTCTGATTTTTGTCCGAATAAATTAGATCTAAGTGGCTGCTGACCCCTGAGCCTCACCCCGTTCCCCTGTTGAAGAGGAACTGGTAATCCTCTTCCCTTTTTTGCTGTACTAGCAATGTGGGTGCATCAAGAAAAAAAGAGGAATTTGAGAGATTGCTCAAGAAGACCAGGGGTATATTTTGAGACATGGAATCAAAATAATATGCCAAAAGGAGCCCAAGTTTTCAACTGTTTGGTTTTATCTTCTATCCTTAAGAACAATGGCTAAATAAATATCCTAGCACTTGATCCTTAAAGGCAAATGGGACCCTTATTACCCTGTAGATTATTCTATCATCTCTATTAGTCTCCACCTTCTCCATCTCGATCTCAATCTCTGTCTCTACAGAGATGCACAAACTTCCCCCTGGAATTCTGTGCCCCTCTGCAGCAGTTACGTGATGGGTCTATGTTTGTCTATGGTGAGGGGAGAAGTTTGCCTCTACTTTTTTTCTACAATTAGAGTTTAGGCAATGCCAATGATTTCCTTATAATAGATATTTTCATATTTGGACATAAATATTTATCTATTTATTTATTTTTAATATTTTTTTTAGTATTTCCCTGTGAATGGACCCTTTTATTTTATTTATTTATTTATAGGTGGTGCTGAGGATCAAACCCAGGGCCTCACACATGCCAGGCAAGCTCTCTACCACTGAACCACGACTCCAGCCCAAGCATTGATTTTAGATCTGGAAGTTAGACCATCACTGACAGGAACAGGGAAGGTCAATTGCTCTTCGATCCAAGAGGTAGAAGAAGGACCTGAAGCTACTGTGCTCTCAGGCAGGAACCTGTAAATGTCATGGAGGCTGCTACTCAGGCTTCCCTTCTTCCCTTCCATGTTCTGTTTCGTGTTCTAAAATGTAAGGAGAAAAAAAAAAAAAACCAGTAAGGATCAACCTTGACAAGATTTTGCCCTTCTACCATACTCAGAAATCAAATTTGAGCAGAGGAGATGGTGCATACGCTTGCTTTCCATGGATATGGTACACCTTAGCACCAAGGCCAGTCTATAGAGCTAGGCTTCCAGCTTCCTTGTTCTGATCCCTTATTTCCTGTGTGGTATCTTGCCAGATACCAGGGGTGCAAAGACACCCAAAACAGAGCTGCGACTCCTAAGAACCCAGTCTAGAAAGAAAAGTGGGAAATGTAGAGAAATTTGAGACAAATTGTTATAATTTGAATATGGAACATCCCCCAAAGACTCATGTGTTGAAGGCTTGGGTGCCACACATTAGGAGGTAGGACCCACTTGGAGGAAGTAGGTCACTAAGAACATGTCATTTAAAGATATATTTTGTCCCCAGGCCCTTTTATCCACCCTCCATTTTCTGGCCACCAAGAAGTGAACAGCTTTGCTCCACCACATGCTTTCCACCATGATGTTCTGCCCCACCACAGCCCAAGAACAAAAGACCTGAGTGAGAAAGGACTGAAATCTCTGAAACCATGAGTCAAAATGAATTTTTCCTTCTTTAAGTTAATTTCTGTCAGGCATTTTGTCACAGTGATGGAAAGCTGATTCTGTATAAATTAAGGAGTGCTGAGCTCTAGACAATGTCCATTCCATCAGAATAAAGGAATCAATTTGAGGATCTCATCTTCCATTATGCTTAGAGTCTAAGGATAAGGGAAACCATCAAACTGGAAAATTTAGCAACAAAACAGATGCTGTATCCCAAGAAATAGAAAAAATTTAAAGAAAAGAAAAGAAAAAAAAAAAGACCATGCCATTTTTCTGAAACCAAAAAAGTGGCCCAGCTAAATTGGTTGTTGTTGATGGTGATTTGTTTGGACTGTTTTCCCCTGTGGTGTTTATATATGTCCTTTGCATGCTTCTTCTATATGGACCATACATGAAGAAGTCCCTAATCTGGAGCCCCCTAATCGATCTAAGGTCCTGCAAATGGGAGGAGCCCTGTAGCTAACTACCTGCTGCACCGTACAAGGATATGACTGAGCCTCTTCAGCCCCATATCTACTAGGTCTGTACCATCACCAAGTGAGCTAACTGGTCATAGACTCAACTGAGTTTAAATTTTTGGAAGGAAGCATTACTTTTTTAAGGATCCTTATTAAGAATCTACCTGTGGGAGAGCACCGCAGAACAGGCAAGGTCCACACCATTCTGTCTGCCTTGGAAGGCTCCTAATCCAGATGCTCCAAGTGGATAAAGGCCTTGATGACAATTTGACAGTTGCATTCTTGCTCTTAGGGAGGGAACCAGAGGCTACACCTTGGCTTATCCAAGCCTCAGGATTCAACAGAGCCTATGCATGAGCATCAGACCAGATCTCCTGGACCCAGCTCTTTCTAGATTGCATTAAAAAATTATATGCTTGCCCCACCACTGAATCTTAGGTACCACAAAGTGCCCAAAGCCACCAAACAAAGGAAATAGAAAAGTTTGAAGAAACGAATTGTATCTATCCAGAAACTGGTCATCTTTGGATCAGTTGTTGGCATTTCAAGAACAGTAGAAAAGGTTTTAATGATTTAGAGATTCAAGGGGCCTGTATTCTGTCTGAAGGGACTGCACCAGACATCACCAGTTCCTCCACAGCTAGCCCATCAACTCCTGCACATAGCTAGTTGCCATCCAGGTGGAAATCACACCCTGTAACATATTCCTGGGACACACGCTGTAGCAACACGGTGTCTCGGGGAAGAACTTTCAACAGGGGTAGCTGGACTCCTTTCTATCCACACTGCCATACAACTTGGGTTCGGTGTAGTCGGGATATCAACCTGATACACGTTCTAGTCTCTTGCATAGTTAGCCCAGTTCACTGCCTTGCCTAACACCACCCCAAAAGCAGGTGGTTTTATTTTCAACCATATCTTTCCTATCCCCTCTCTTCTTCCTCCAAATGAATCTCTTCTTTTCCCCAACATGAATCTTTTACTCAAGGCAGGCCTATTTACCCAAAACCTCATCTGCAGCACATTTTTTTTTTTTAATTTCTCCCTTGCTAACCCCATGCCTTTTTAGTTTGGCATGGAATTCACCTTCTTTAGCAAATCTTTTCCCCAAATCCTGACTTACACTGGATTTGGAATGAGTAAGGAAGGAAAACTGAGCAGTGGAGCAGGTGGGAGCAGGACTTAGGAACGGGTGAATGGGTTGATGTCTGACTTCTTTGCAGTTTCCCTCTCTTTGGTCTGAACACGCATGCTGAAACAGTCTCGTTTGCTGCACACATTTCACAAGAGAGACTCAAAAAGGCAAAATGACTTAGAGTCACACAACTAGTTAGTAAAGACTAGAATTAGGAATATTTTCAATGACGTCTCTAATTCTATGGGCCACACAAGTATTAGAGAAGATCACCTCCTCACATACTGCTCCATGTTTTCATTATTTAAGTGTTGATGTCCCTGAAAAAATATATCTGGGCTTTCCCCAAAGCTTCTCGGAGCATCTCCTGCCAGTGGTAGGAGATGCTGCCTATAGGTGCCCATCCCCATGCCCATCCTCCACCATTCCTGCTCATACCCTGGAGCACCAAGCTGTGGCTTAGATATTTATTTGCTTTCTGGTGAGGGAGCAATGGTTGTCCTGGGTTATGGGGAGGTCCAACACTGGACAGATGAGAATGACAACACATTAGTCACATATACTCACAGCCTGGAGGACGCTGTATCCCAAGTGGGACTGCGTGAAGGTTGTATTCAGAGATAGCGAACCACCAGAGGTTGGGAGACAGGCTTTGTAGGTGAGGCATCCGTCCTTCCCATGGGAGAACATGATTAGCTGACTTGAATAGTTTCACTGGCTGGCAGGGACCTGGCATCCGTGACTCAGGGATAAGCAGAAACTGCTCCTGTCCATTTGATAGGAATTGTTGGGTGACAGGAATCTTATCTGTAGGAGCAGAATGAAGATAAGAACCTGCGGTTAGACCATTTGAAGCCCTCCTAGTCTCACCAGATGTCACAGCTGTACATAAGATTGGGCTTTAATTGTAGACCTTGCAAAGAGCCCTCCAAGGACCCATCTGTATTCTCTCAGAGGGGACGATGTCCCTCCTCTTTCCTTCAATTTGCCGAAGGCTTACCAAAGCAGAGTCTTTGATATACACAGTCCTTCCACTTCTGTTATTTTATTACCCAAAGAATCTCTACTCACAGGGAAGATGGCCAAATTCAGATAGAGCTGTATTCACACACCCCAGGGCCCTTGGACACTGGGAATTTGATTCTGGAAGCCTATCTCTCTGCCTGCCTCACTCTTTTACCAGGATTCTTCTCAGGCAATAGAAGCAACAGAGTCCCTGCCCAGATGTAATAGACTCCAGAAGTGATCTCAGTTGGCATCCCTGGCCTACTCTTTTTCAGAGCCCGAGGGCACACTGTGCTTATGAATAGGGGAAAGGAACCTATTTATGCTCTGTAGCTATTTTTGCTCAGGCTGTTCCAGGCATTTCTGGTTGAATGCTGCCACTCACAGCACTCACACAAGATCTGGAAGCCATTTGAAGTTCAAAGGCGCCCACAGACTGCTGCAAAGCACAACTGGAGGCAGCTTCCAGAAGGACAAAGAACATTCACAAATGCTTCTGTTTAGGAGGCTCCTCGGTAGAGTTTCTGGCTAAAAATTCACCAAAGAAAATCCATGGCTTCTACATTTTCTCAGAGCCCAAACCCAGCTGGGTTTGGAACAGGAATATTAGCACAATATATGAAGTATCCAGAAACGGGTTGTCCAAGGTCAGGAAAGAGGGTCTGATGCTCTCTCAGTGCTAAGGAGGGCCTGGCCCTTCTGACAGCTCAGGATGCAAATAGAATCCCTGGATGCAGTTGGCCCAGAATTTCTTTTTTGCTCCTTGGAACACACAGCAGATTTCACGTGATGCTTGGATTTGGAGTCCTTGGAACAATAACAAAAAACGATATAGTAAATTCTGCTTCTTGTGTAGCAAAGCCCCTCCCTTCTCCTCCCCTCCCTTTTCTCTTTTATGCTCCATCTCCTCACCACCTCTCACCCTCCTTCCCTCCCGCTTCCTGTCTCCCATCCTCATTCCTCCCTCCCTCGTTCCCTTTGATCCCACACATCTTTGGATTCATCCTTTATTGTTGATCCTTCTAGAGCTGAACTTCAGCAGAGGTTGGTCAAGACCTTTTAGAGTCCTGCCTCCTTGTTGAGGATCTGATGGTACCTTGTGGCTGGGAGTTAGGAAGGTACCCTTCCTTGGTTCATGAGTTGGAGCCCTGAGCCATTTCCTTGAGCACCCCTGAAGGCCACTAGCCTCCCCTCTGAGAACCTGGGCAGGCTTAAGAATGAGACATGGAGGTAGAAACCACTGGGTGGATGCACTAAGGCAGATTTTGAAGAGAGGGAGGTATGGAGCCCTGAAGGGTTCAAACAGCCTGGGATTTATGATCCTTTGTATTTTTGAGTCTTTGAAGCAGGCACCCGCCCTCTCTGAGCTTCAGAGTTCCATCCAAAAATAATACTGGTCTGAAAGCTCTTCTCCAGTTCCTTAGCTTTTGTTTTCCTTTGTTTGGGCATGGCCACAAAATAACGGGATTTAATCCCCCACCCTCACCCCATAGGTTAATCTCTTTAATGAACGAACAGCTTAGAGTACAAGGGGACTTGGTAGACTTCCTGAGCAGGAGAGGGAGGAGAGAGAAACTCCTGCTCAGCTCTGACCCTGGATCTGTGGACCTCTGCTTTCCTCCCAGCCACCCACAGTGTCTGGTTGGCTCCTTGATGGCCTGTTTCTTACTGACCTTCACAACACCCACTGGTCCCAGGGAACACTGCTGGTCTTCTCTGTTCAGAGTATATGTGAAGAAGAAGAAGAAGGAGGAGGAGGAGGAGGAGGAGGAGGAGGAGGAGGAGGAGGAGGAGGAGGAGGAGGAGGAGGAGGAG